CACCCATTTTTGCTAGTAAATCCGTCACTTGATTCCCTTCCCGAAACTGGTGTGATACCTGAATCTCAAATAAATTCATCAAATTCAATAACTCCTCCCAAAAATCTCACAAATACCAAACAGTGCACTTGCGTTTCAACATCCATTCTACAACAATCTTGGAATCACATTCAACATCAACATGGAAAACTCCTATATGTTGGCAAAGTTTAAGACCCTCAAGCAGAGCTCTCAGCTCAGCTTCATTATTCGATGCTATCCCAAAATTAGTGGCAAACGCTGCCAGCACCATCCCTTTATCATTACAAATCACTCCTCCTCCACATGCCTGGCTCGGGTTTCCCAAACTACTTCCATCTACATTAAGCTTTGCTCTCCCAAGCATCGGTTTCTTCCAAGTCACCAAATGTACTGGTGATAATATCCTGACGACACAAGGAATGCCCATATCTGTTAGAAACTTTTCCTCTTCCCGTGTTAATACTCTGGTCTTTTTAACATTAGTTGCTAAGTGCTGCAACCAAAATCTAATGGACAGAACAACATCTTCAACTGATTCATACAATCCCTCCATTCTTGCTTTACATCTTCGAATCCAAAACCTTCAAGTTACTAAACATGGGATAAATCCTTGTAAGCATCCTAGTTGAGAGGATCTCTTATCTCTTGCCCACCAAATTTTTATCCTATCCCACCAGGACTGCCTTGTACGCCACCTAACACCAAGTGCCAATGAAAGTCTCCTCCACACCTCATCTGCAAAGTCTCCAGTACTTAAAACATGGTTTGAGTCCTCCTCATGGCCAGTAGTGCAACAATTGTACCGGGATGCCATAGCCACTCCAACTTGACGTATCCTATTATCAAAGCTGAGACTTCCCGACAAAGCTTTCCATATCACAACTGAACTCCTCTTAGGAAGAGCGTTATGCCACACCCATTTTGCCCACTCCACCATGGGAGCCCTTACTCTAATCACCTCCCAAGCACTCCTGGTTGAGAATTTTCCTTGTACATTTGGTCTCCATATTAGAGTATCCCTTCCAGATTTTCGACCTCCAACTTTTTCCATGATATTTGCAGCTATATTAGCCCCTACTAACTGACCCAACTTCTCAACATCCCAACCAGTATCCAAGCATATTTCATACACCTTCAAGCTAGGTTGGACAATATGCTCCACTCTTTGGCAAAGTGGGCCCTCCTCTAACCAGTTATCATACCAAAACGATATTTTTCCTTCCCTTATCTTCCATTGGCTATTAGCAACCACATCAGGGAAACAATCTACCACAGCTTTCCAAAACCTTGAGCCTACACGACCCAGACTTCCAACATCCACTAAACCCTTAGCTGCATATTTTGCTCTGAAAAAACGAGTCCACAACGAATCAGCAGTAAGCATTCTCTAAGCAAACTTCATGTGGAGAGACTTTTGAATTTCTTCAAACCTACGAACCCCAAGACCTCCTTCCATCAATGGATTACAAATATTCTCCCATGAGACCCATTTTTTCCTAGTCTTACCATTAAACTCACCCCAAAAAAATGATGATAATTTGGAGTTTAAAGTCCTAAAAACCGATTTAGGAACACTTAGGACAGATAGTAGATGAGTAGCCATACTGGTGGTAACATGTCTTAATAGAACAAGTCGACCCCCTTGTGATAAAAGTTGTACCTTCCAACCTGCAATCCTTTTTTGAATTTTCTCCACTATGAATTGTAGATGTCGAGCAATCAGTCTTCCTACAATCACTGGCACCCCCAAATAAATAACTGGAAAAGAACCCTCTCTAAAGGAACTTAATCGAAGAATCTCGTTCTTGTGAGATGCCCCACCATGTTTGCCAAAGAAGATAGCTGACTTCTCTTTATTAATGATCCGACCTGTCCATTTTTCATATACCTGAAGAGTCTCCATTAAAGTTTTCATCGATCTTTTACTTCCATTCGCAAAAATAACAATGTCATCAGCATATAGGAGATGCGACACCAAAGGTGCATTACGGGGATGTGAAAAAGCACCAATGCACCCATCTTCAAATTTCTTTCTCATAAGCCTAGTCAACACCTCTTCCATGATGATAAATAAATATGGGGATGTAGGATCACCTTGCCTTAGACCTCGAGCGGGTTTAAAAAAACCTTGTGTGGTTCCATTCATCATAATAGAGAACCAAGGCATAGAAATACATTCTGAAATCAAAGAGCAGAAACTATGAGGAAAACCAAAAGAACGTAATACATGCAATAAAAACCTCTAATCGACTCTGTTATACGCCTTCGCCATATCCACTTTGACCACCACATTTCCTTCATGAACCTTACGATTCAACGAATGCACCATCTCTTGTGTTAAAGTGATGTTTTCAAAAATGCTTCTTCCTTGGAGAAAAGCCCCTTGTTCAAGAGATATAATTTTTGGAAGCAAGCTAGCCATCCTCTTCACAAGAATTTTTGAATAAATCTTATACGCAACCGAGCAAAGACTAATTGGTCGAAACTTATCAAATCCTTGTGGATTCTCCACCTTTGGAATAAGCACTATGTATAAGAAGAAGTTATCAGAATCAGTAATGAGAAAGGAGTGTACGAGGCAAGGCAATCTATGTTAACCATCGACCAAGGCACGCACCAGCCACCATTACTATCTCTAAATTTTCACCTATCGTTCGGCCCTAAAATCACCTAGAGAGGATGAATAGGTGAATAACGCGGAATTAAAATTATCAATCTAAAGTAACAAGTCACCTTTTGACTGTTCTAGATATTTAGACAATCAAGTCAAGTTATCATATGATGAATTGTCACAATAATAAATAAAGCAGTAAAAATACAATATTTGTTGACGGAGAAAACCCTTAACAGGTAAAAACTCAGAGACCAAGTCAGTAGATTTTACTATAGATAATACGAACTTAGAATATGATCCAGCCTAGAAAACTCATTAGACTCGCTGATCTAATTCATGCAATTTCCAAGAAACGTTGGAATGTGCTTCATTCACATTTGTTCCCGATCTTCTATAATTATCTATCTCCCGTGGATCATCAAGAACACATTGTTCTTGTACTCTTCCTGTGCTTTTGGTTCAACCTCCCTCAATTCTGAACAATCTCTAAAAACTATTGAGAAAGTACCTTCTTGATTATATCTAGGAGGTGAGTGTTTTAGATTATTTGAATTCAATGATTTTCCTAACTTGTACTTGATTGATCTCAAGAATCAAATGTTTAATCTCAATATTTGGATGTGTTATTAGATCTTGGAATGATGTTATAAGGATGTAAAATAATGATCAACCAATCACCAAAAATATACTGGGCATTTGATATTTATAATAAGATATATTTAGGTAGTATATGAAAGATAGAACTTTTGAAAATCCCGAACTAGGTTTTCACGTATAATACCGTCGTTCGAGCGCAATGTTAGCTATATGTGAGCGAGAGGTGTGTCGCTCCACTGATAGGCGGGGGACAATGATTCTACATTTTCCACTTGAGTATCAGCTAGGCGACAGGTTAACATAAATCCCTTGTTCCATACTCGAATCCAAAGACTCCTAATTCATCTATACAACCCTTCAAAATACTCATTGATTTTTATAGCTCTTTTGTAACAATTCTATTCTTTTATAAATGAGCAACCGTACGTACCATTTACCTCGTCTGGTACTTGACTATCTTGTGTACAAATTCATATTAATTTCTTCATTGATTTTAAAATGAAAAATAAATAAAAAGAGAGAAGATAGCTAGGTAAACAAGAACTCTAATATAAGTTTAAATTGGAGAGGTTCAAATTTAACATTAGTACTCTCACAGGGTACAAGTTTCCAAATTACAACCAAACACCACTGTGAGGAAAATTCAAACTTTTTCCCTAGATTTACATAATCTAAACCCAAGTCTACTCATGAGTTCTGAGTTAGCCAGTCAACAGTTGTAAAAAGAATCCTTAAAAGTACAAATTACAGAAGCAGCAAACTAAGCAGAAGCTTCTTAATGAAACTCAAAATTAATTCCATCTTAGCTTTGATGTTAGAGACCGAAAATCATCTTCTTTACAAGGAATTGTGAGTCCCCTATCATGATCAAACCCAAATTCTTCTTCGGCACGTTGCAAAAGAATCTGAAATTCTGGTTTACTCAAGAATGAAATTGGAACAATGTATCTGCTTCTGTTATCACCAACATACACTACAAAATGCCCTTTTGGGACGTCCATAGGAAGCCCCTCTTCATCATAACCTGCATGTTTCTTCGTTAAACTCGAGCACCTCTTCATAATCTGCTTTATAACTGCTGCTTGTGACAATTTGTTCAATTTTCTGATGGCCATTTTTCGATTCTTAATCAGTGAAGAAAGAAAAAGGTGATCAAATTTTTTCTAACAACAGACTGGTGTGGTGGGAATGAAAGGGTGACAAAAAATGGGGTTATATAAAAGAAAAGAATACCATGTGGGGGTAGTTGGGGGAGTTGGGAGCCAATGTTCTCGGTTTTATTAACCCATGTTGCCTTTCATTAGGACATACTGTCCCTTTTTTCATCTATACTGATACGTTTGTCTTCTTTCAAGTGGAGAAACATCCTCAAAATTTACAGCAACACTTCCAAAGAATTGCTCAAACTTGTGCCAAGACAGCGTAAATGTGTAATCTCAAGATAATGGGATAGTCACTTGTCCTCTGAATTATGTCTCAAATTCATTTAGAAATTTTGTTTTCGTGATTCAATTTAATGTATCAAACACGTTGGAAAGACGTCCCAGACGTTCATCATGTTTTACTTCTGCAGTCTTTTCTTAATGTCTTTTTTCTGGTTTCGGTATAAAAATTCGATTTGTATTATTCTATGTGATTTGTCCAAAAGATTATCTATCCTGCCTAATTCTATTAAAATCTTATCTTTGGGATTAGTTAACAAATTTATGTTTGCACTATGAAATTAAACAACAGACGAAGGAAAATACAAAAACATGTGCAACCACTAAGGCATTCAAGTGCAGGAGTTCATTGTTTCATAAGATAGTCATTTATTAGAAAAGATTGACCTCAGAACAAAGAATCTGAACTGAATAATTTAATCAACTCCTTATCTCTTCATTGCACTAATTAACAAAAGATTTAAATTATGTATTTTTGAACAACAAACTAGGGCACATTAGGCTCTTTCAAATCTTTAAATTTTTATTTTTTCAAGTGTTTATATCTGTCGTAGTAATATTTGAAAATAATATACTTTTAAATATAATATTAATATATTTACACAACAGTAATCAAAGTTATTGGCATTGAGGCCATGTTTGATTGCAAAGAATTCCATGTGAAATGTCACATCCGGGGAAAGCGAATTTCACTTTTGTCGTTTGATTGTAACGGGAAATGAAAATCGAATTCCAATGTACAACTATTTTAAACTGTATTTTCTTTGTTTTCATGGAAAGTGAATTCCTATGAATTTGGTAGATTTTTATTTTTCAACTAATATAAAATTGAAATTTCTTTTAACCTGTGCCTCTCAAGCGAACCCTAAAGGTTTATAGCTCTCATTCTTCTTAAATAACTTTTTTTTTCTTGACAATTACAAACAAGTTTAGAAAGAAGCTGACAAAGAATGATAAATGGAGAGCATTAAATCAAGAAAAATTATTGCCCACCAAACTGAGTAAACTCTGCAGTCAAAATCAAGAATCCAAAAAGGACTAAAACCAATACTTTATTTTTCTGGCTGGGGCCATAATATACCCTCATTCGAAGGCCACCCCATGTTCTGTGAATGAAATTTGTTGATGACTGTGACATTCAAACAGTGAACAATAGCCACACCATCTTCATGGAAAGGCATGCAGTTGGTACCCTACCTAATCACCAATCGAAGAGGATAGTATACCCGTCTAAATTGATAAAAATAGGACACTTTCATTTATTTAAATTTAGTCTTTTCATCATCGATTTCTTATTTTTCGATCAAAATTATGACATTAGTATGAGTAATTACAAAACATGATGTGAAGCTTAGCCCTGCTTAATGTTATGTAAAGCTTCAACGCCTATATCTCTCCTCTTATTGTAAATTTATAGCTTCTCTCGTATTTTCATGAAAAAATCAATTAGTTTCCTTCCGACTCAAAAATGTTGTTCTAAGGTACAACTTCGAACAATTAATACGATCGTCAAAGCGTATCCTTGCAAGTCTTAAATCTTGAATTCGAATTAGTGTTACAATATAGTCTTCTCATGTATCTTGTATAGGAAAATGTTAAAATAATCTTATAAAGTCGATAGGTTTTCCATTTATTTTAAGACAAATTACACATAATTAACCAACTATTGTTTGAATATAAAATGATCAACACCTTGAAATAACTACTATGAACATATTTCAACTTGACTCGTGTTTTTAAGAGTTTATTACCTAATTTGCATCGTCTCTCTCTTTTTTTTTTGGCAAGCAATTTTGTTCGAGAATAGATAATTCACTAGTCGCGTGCAAAGCAAAAAAAATAAAATTATTTGTCAAAATAATTTTGAAAATTAAATGTTGAATTGGTTGGACATTAAATTAACGTTGAGTAGTAGAAAAAGGTAGGTGGGGCCAATACAGCTCACCCATTAATCCGAAGCACCAAAGGACTTACGGACGTACCCGCTACCTTTTCGTATATCCATAGCATGTGCAGCATCTACATAGAATATTATGGTATATTTGCCCTGGTTTTTAAAAAGTCAAAAAATGCTTCTACTTTTAAATATGTTTACATAATGTTTAAGAAGTATTTTGTCAGAAGAATTTTTAGAGGAAGTTAACTTAAAATATCTTCTTCAAAAGGCTTTTACTCTCTAGTGGTCATCAGTTCGAATTCCCTCAAGGTCATTGAGGTGAGTACCTGATCGTAAATTTCAGGGCCTTGTGGGATTAATCGATGTGCTCGCAAACTGATTCGAACATCCACGATTATATAAAAAAACAACAAACAGAAGCAAAATAGAAGTCATGTCAAACGAGCTATAATAAATAAGACGCTAACTTAAAAGAGAAACGACTTCTGAATATAGTATGGTATTACCTAAAGATGTGTGTGTCTAAATCCATGTAAAGTGTTGACAATGAGTTGACTATTCTTCTTCCAAAAGCCCATGGACCGCATTTGACATGATCCCAAATTGAGATTTGGTATGGCCATTGGGCCTTAAAAGTCTTGTACAATATTTGGCTATAAAGAGTTGACTGGTATCAAGGTATTGGTGAATCCACCAACTATTTGTTCCAATCATACTCTTGAATAAACTTGAATAAATAGGGTATTTCGTTAACCCGTCTGCTTCAACTAATACAAGGGCTCTTCACATTTATCTCGATGCAAATTTTTATGCTCGCACCAAGCACATTCCTCATTGCGACATTTTTCAACTACAGAGTCCTATCTTTGAAATAAAATCAGGTGATTTACTAATGTAAAATTTTGTCACGTAAACCATCAAGTAGACTAGTGAGTCACAATGCGTTATATTCTGTGGCACACATTCCCACGTTTGTTCCCACCGTTGGCGTTGCCACCAAAACAGCTACCATTTATAACACTCAGTCTTATGCCGTCGCTAATAGAATTCAATGTTATACTACCACTAGTATTGACACAATTTATAGCATATTGTATTATATTATCACCACCACCGCCACCACTTCTATCATACTGTGTTACACCACCAAGTGCCGAAGCCACAATCCACCACCATCTATGCCACTAGACCACTGCTGCTGCTACCATCATCATACCATCGAAGCCCGCCACAACCATCACAAAGCAATATTAGTTCAGGAATTCTTATCTATGAGATATTAAGTAATATTTGAACATAATATTGAATTTTACAGGAAAACGAACAAAAAATTATGCAAGACAAAACACACGTGCAAAAGAAAAACAGGAATTTGTATATCAAACTAGGCGATGACATTTAAAAGTTTAGAGGCATATTCTTTACCGACATATCCTCCTTCAATTTCCCTAGCCTTTTGCAAACTAAAAAAATGGGATGATGCATGAAAAAGCTAATTCTAAGTGGAGACAATCAAGGAAAAGCCAACATCGTCCTTCAACTTCTTTCAATCAAGCTTTTGTATTTTTGTTTTATACACACGCACACACACACAAAGAATCTAAACTCAAGATATTTGTCTAAAACTACACTCGATCACCCCCTAAAATCTTACTTTGTAAATAATGCCGTGTTGAAAAAGTGCAAATAAAATCCCACAAATCGATTAGATACAAAGGAAATAATAATTTTGCTCGTTTTAACAGATTAATCTTTCGAAAGTTTAGCCGCATAAAATAGATCCCATTTGTAGTCGAAGGAAGGTGTGGATACCAATTAATTGCGATAATCGAATTTTTTTTTTTATATGGTTAACTCTTGATGTATTGGAAGAGTTGGATTTTTTCGAGCCTGTGATCCTTCATGGTTCGACGAAGGGGATGGAGTTTAAGAAAGTGAGAACAAGATTCCAACAAAACATGATAAATAATGTTATATTAGATGAAGTGAACATGTACATGCATTTATTTTTCTGGTCAAAAGAAGAAGGTCTATCCTATCATCCACCCGTGGGCATTGCAATCACTGCTTATATTTGTCGGACGGTGGGGAATTTCAAGGGACCCTTCTTTTGCCTTTGTCACGTCACAACTAATGGCACATTTTTGGCAAGAATTGAAATTTAAGGAATTGTAAAATCCTTAAAAATTTAATTTTGGATAATCTGAATGTTGTGTAATTTTATTTTTGTTCGTTTGGCATTTTTTTTCGTTCTAGTCCATTTTGTGTTTTTCGATTCTACTATATTATTGGGATTTTTTTTAACAAGTTGTATCGAAGCTCAAGTTCAAACTTTGGTATATTCCTGCAAAGATGATGACAAGTTTCAAGTTTGAGGTAGCGCGATTTGACGGGAAAAAGTAATTTCAATAACTGATGTCATACTGTTCAAGATGTTCTCGTGCAATAAGGACTTTACAAAGCATTGGTGGGTAAGATGCTAGAAGGGATAAAGGATACAGTAGAAAAGAAAATCAGTACCATCAGATTGACTGTTTCTCTTGAGGCAAAGTATTTTGAACGATAAATCTCCTTCTAAATTATGGAAAACTTTAGAAGGGCTATATATATCTAAGTACCTAATAGACATGCTATTCAATTGCATGGGAACAAGTTCGTCTTCGAAGTATTTTTTCTTTTCAATATTTTTTTTATTAAAACTTTTATTAGGCTTTGGCGGTATTTATGATGTACTTATGAGATTTGAGACATTTGAAGGATATTTTCCATTCTTCAT